ACTCTGGGCAAGCAATGTTACCTACCTTTTAGTGACCTTTTAGCAGCCGCACCAGGCACAGGAATGAATCAACAACAAAAACAGGATAAGCAATGGTAAGATAGCAAAATATATCTTACCATGCTCCGAGAGTTGATCAGGCTCTTTTCCCGTCTGCTGCGATTGACACCTAATGCCCTTTCTGGTCGGCTGTCCGTGGGTTCATGACCCAGAGTTCCCGGGTTTCTCGGCACCAGTTGATTTAGTTGAGGACTAAATTGTCCAGTACTTATCTGCTCCTGTCCTAATTTATCATTCTAGCTTTGGAATGTGCGCACACTGGAAGAGACTCACGCTGACACACAAGTTCAGTCTATGAACACTTCTAGTTTATTATAATGAGAAAGTGAGTTTATATATGCAAAATGATGAGAGAGTCATGTGACAACAGCATAAGCATTATATTAGTCTTTGATTGGTCATTTCCACAGGAAAACAATCTCCATCATGGTATAGGTGTGATCTTCTTCCAAGTCTTATCTTATAGAAAAGAAAAACATTCCTTTCTCTTCGAAATCACAAGATGGGAGGGGGGGGTGATGGGAGGGGGTCCATGCGTGTGAGCAAACATTCTTAAGCAAGGATTTCTTAAAGTACCACAAAGCCCAGCAGGCAGAAAATATTCACACAACATATGTATTCATACTAAACATTTATAAATATGAAGAAAGAAATAGTATTAAAGTATAAAAGTAAATATGTATAAAAATGTGTATAAAAAAGTGTATATATATATATATTCAATAGGAAAAGCAAATAGGCATTTTACCATATCCATCACAATATAAAACCTGTTTTCATTACATACCCTTATTTTTAGCCCAAGTGATGTCATCAATAAATCTCTATGCTTCCTCATGCAATGAAGGCAGATCATGGCTGGTGGGAGGGACTGGCAGCAGGGCTGGGAACAAGGGGTGTGCGGGAGGGATGTCTGCCCTGGGATGCAATGGTTTACAGCAGCTTCACTACTCCTGTCAGGCCAGCACTGGGAGCAGCAAGGAGAGAGCCGGGAGGTGATGCAGGCTGTGTTCTCTCTCCCCTCACTCCTTCCTCGTTTACAGCTCTTGTGTTCTCAGAAGCCGTTTGGCATCTTTTCCCTGGGCACTGGATGACTTTGTCCCAGCACTGGCTGGCAGGGTGCTGTACTGAAAAAATCACAGTGCCCTGCCTCAGTACTCCTCCCAAGAGCCCTCCGTCCTAATGAAATTAGCACTGTAAACTGAGAGTCCATACAGAATCATTATGTCTAATTGTACTTACCTGAGGATGACAAACACTCAAGGCAATGGGTGTCCATTATGTATCCCCTATACTTTATACACATTGATTATTGTTTGTGATGTTTTATATAGTTGAATATATACTGTACATAGTCTTGTTTTATAAAATAAACATTTGCATGACAAAGTGACAAAGGACTCCCAGAGCACTATGAGTTCTCTAAAGATAGGGAGCACAGCAGTACCCATCCATTTTCAGACATGCTGTCTCTCCTGAAAACCTATCTAAAGCCAAAAACAACAATTGTAATATATATATATACCCTGTGGTGGCTGCATTGCTGCCCTCCTGATCTGGGCTACAAAAAACATGTCCTCCTCTTTTTCTTACATGGGTGCAGGGGAATCAGTAGTTTACAAAAGCTGCCATTGTGCTGTGCGGTGGTTCTGGTGTGTCTCTACACTTTTAAGGAGGAATGGGACTCCCTTCAGACCATACCGGCCCTTAATTTAACCATTCATAGATTCGAATGAGTAGAGAAGCTGATGGTGCCGCTCCAAGCCAGAGAGCACACTTGCTGGTATGCAGAAAATGAGAGCCCAATACAGTTCCTGGCATATAGATCATCAGAGAAGATGGATGCCACTCAAACCAGCCTAGTCAGGTCAGGATATGTGTGATGGCCTCAGCCACCACTCCAGCCATGCCCCTCATGCATTTCACCCCGCCTACTGGGACTTGGCCACCTCTGTGACCAAGCCCCAGTGGTGGAGGCGAAACATGTAAGAGAGGTCGTAGCTGGGGCAGCAACTGAGGCCATCACACATATCCAGACCTGACTAGGCTGGTTTGAGCGGCATCCATCTCATAGATTCAAGTTAGGACCCACACTATACAGAGACTTGATGGGACAGTGCAGCTTCCACATATATTTTCACAAATGTTGTGCAACCAAAAGCATCCAATGCTTATGTGACGGAGGGTAAGTGGGACAGAACACACAAGACAGACGGGAAAACACTTAAAGATTTATTAAAACAGACAACAGTCAATCAATGGGGAGTAGTGTGCAGGGAGAGAGAGTCCAAAATTACTTGTAATCCAGCCCCGGTGGGCAAAGTTAAAGCCTCTACGGCAATTTGTAATCCAAGAGGCAGTTCATAAGCAGTCAGATAGCGCAAGGGGAGCATACACTCACGCAAAGCTGATGCGGATAGTTTCAGGCAGAGCTGACAGTGTTCCAGGCAGGGCTGATGTAGCTTCTGGGATCCCCCTTCCTCCAATGGGGCTCAGGCAGAGCCGGGGGGGCCACTAGAGTCCAGCTGGACCTCTCAGTGGTTTGCCCAGCAGAATGGCACAAACAAGATAGACCAGCACTGGCCTCTTAAACCCTCTGAGCAGGAAGACAGGCTGAGGGGGAGTCATTAGCAGGTGACAATGAAGAGAATGGAACTACAGTAATTTAATTCGTAGCTGTAAACAGAAAAGACTGGTTGGGCAGGATAATTAGTGGGGGAAGTACATTAATAAAAAAGTAAGGCACTAATTAGGGATGTATACACTAATTGAATTTGGGACCTTTTGTGGAGGGGAGAGTTAATTACAGCTAGAGGCCTTTGGCACACAGGAGGTGAATACTAATTGGAGGAAGCTCTTCCTATGGCCAGGAGTGATTAAAAAAGGAATTAATACCCTGGGGATTAATAAATGGGCTGGCAGAGAACTCTTATATCCTGACGCTCTGGATCAGTAAGCAGGAATTGATAATTGGCCTCTTCAATAAGAGAATAGAAGTCAAATCCAACACAATGTAACTTCAGATAATTGCAGTACAGAGGATGTATTTTCCAGTCTTTTGAAATGCAAGAGGACAATGAATTTCCTAAGCCAGAAGTACTGGCACTGATTGAGGGAACATAAGAAGAGAAACAGAGAGGGTCTATTTAGGGCTGAATTAACTAGTACTAAACAGGAGGTGGAGACAGAGGAAGAAAACAAGTAAACACGTTGTAGAGGCTTAAAACAGCCCCTAGACTTCAGCATACATCAAAGCAATATTACCCAATGCAATTCAATAAAACACAGAATGACACAGCCCCAGATGATCCACATTGGCTCACCACCTTCTCGTAACCTTCTCAGTACAATAAAGGGACACCACCCAAGTCAAGTGCCACTAGAAGGGATAGTATTTGTCCTTCCTTCCTCTTGCTCTTGTATTATTCCTTTGAGGGACTGTCACCTTCATCAATTGGATCATCTGGATCGTTGTAGTGCACCAACTGGTCCCCAACAAACGCGCAGAAGAATCCTCAATGCATTTGAAGGGACGTTGACTACCCTACTCGAGAGAGCTGTTTCCTATTTCAGATTTAAACTTTGCCTTCAGATCCTGAGGGCCCAAAGTCAGCTAGTTCAGCCTTTGATAGCTGTCCTTGCTCACTGGGGACCAGAAACACCTCAGGTTGGAGGTTTTGGGACAACTTCTGAATGGCAGGCCTGCCAGCACTGGCTGAGATTTTGCTGTAGGTGTTTCTTTGCTTAGAGTTGCTAAGAGCGATAATTGCCATTATGTCACATATACCACTTTATGCTGTTTGCCCGAGCCTACAGACAAGTATCATATAAACATCATATCAGTTCTCTCCAATCTGTGTGAGTCTATTCTTCTGGTGATCATTTACTTTGGTCAGAAGAGTACTGTGGTGTCAGAAGGGGAGGAGCTTTCAGAGGGGGGCCCATAGCAAACAGGGAGCCGGAAAATAACTCAGCAAGCCGCGCTACACAGTGTTTTGTATATATTAAAGTATTACAGATCACATGTACATTATATTGGACAGATGTAAGCTCCTCCCATCACTCACCATGTAGGTAGAGGGTCTTACTAATTGTAGTATGCTGTATGTTACAGGAGACGTTGTGTCCTTGTATGTCCTCTGTGATGGACACCATGGAGGTCTTGGTGAAGGTTCCATCCTCATTCTTAGTCAAGTTCTCAGGAATCCGGTCACCTCTTGGGAAATCACTCCAGGAAATGTCCAGCTCTGGGGGATAAAATCTCTTGGCCTCACAGATCAGAAGATGATTCTTGGTTTCCACAACCAGGTAGAGGTGAGGGGTTACTGGGAATGAAATAAATGATTGTTAATGCTGCCATGATGGAAACATTCCTCTTAGAAAGACAAACAATGGTCAGTGTGCAGGGTATTGATTCCCTTTAATATCATTATTATTATACAGGATTTATATGGCGCCAACAGTGAGCGCAGCGCTGTACAAAATGAAGGCAGACATTACAGTTACAATACCATTTGGTACCAGAGGAAACAGAGGGCCCTGATCCTGAGAGTTTACAATCTAGGAGGAAGGGTTGAGTGATACAAAAGGTAATAGCTGTGGGGGAGAAGCTGATGAAGGAAATAAATGGCAGTTTACTAGGTAGAAGCTAGGATAGGCTTCATTAAAGAGAAAGGTTTTTAGGGATCGTCTAAAGGTGGATAGATTTAGAGATAGCCCCACAGATTGAGGTAGGGAGTCCCATAGGATGGGAGAAGCTTGGGAGAAGATCCTGGAGGCAAGCATGGGAGGAGGGGACACAGGAACTAGAGAGCAGAAGGTCTTGGGTGGATTGAAGAGAACGATTTGGTTGATATTTTGAGACCAGGTTGGTGATGTAGCTGGGGGAAGAGTTGTGGATGGCTTTGTAAGTTGTTGTTAGTATTTGAAATTTTATTCATTGGGTGAGTGGAAGCCAGTGGAGGGAATGGCAGAGAGGGGTGGAGGACACTGAATGGAGGCCAGTGGATGGATTGACAGAGAGGGGTGGAGGACACTGAATGGAGGCCAGTGGAGGGATTGGCAGAGAGGGGTGGAGGTCACTGAATGGAGGCCAGTGGAGGGATTAGCAGAGAGGGATGGAGAACACTGAGTGGAGGCCATTGGAGGGATTGGCAGAGAGGGGTGGAGGTCACTGAGTGGAGGCCAGTGGAGGGGATTGGCAGAGAGGATGGAGGACACTAAATGGAGGCCAGTGGAGGGATTGGCAGAGAAGGGTGGAGATCACTGAGTAGAGGCCAGTGGAGGGATTGGCAGAGAAGGGTAGAAGACACTGAATGGTTGGTAAGGTGGATGAGCCTGGCAGCAGTATTCATGATGGACTGGAGGGGGGATGGCCTATGTAAAGGTAAGCCAATGAGGGGGGAGTTGCAGTAGTCGAGGGGAGGGATAACCAGAGAGCGAATAAGGAGCTTTTGTGGTGCATTGGTTAAAAAGGGGCGTATTCTGGAGATGTTGCGGACATTGATGATTTGGACAGGGATTGGATGTGGGCCTGAAAGGATAGTTCAGAATCCAGGGTTACCCCTCGCACCCTGACATGCAGAGATGGGTTGATGGTGCTATTGATCCTGATCAAGAAATCGGGGGGGGAAGAGGCACATGATGGAGGAAGTATTATGAGCTCAGTTTCGGATAGATTGAGTTTGAGGAAGTGGTGTGACATCCAGTCTGATATGTCTGTTAGTAAATCAGTGATATGTGAGGAAACTGATGAGGTGACCTGAGGAGTAGAGAGATAGATTTGTGTGTCATCAGCATAGAAATGGTATTGGAAACCATGAGAAGCTATCAGCTGACCCAAGGAAGAAGTGTAGATGGAGACTAGGAGAGGTCCAAGGACAGAACCTTGGGGGACCCCAACAGTATTAATCATATTACTAATGTCTTATTGGTCAGTGGCTCTTAGGGGTGGTTACATAGTTACATAGTTAGTCTGGCTGAAAAAAAAACAAAAGTCCATCCAGTTCAAACATAAAAAAAAGTTATGATCCTATACCCACAGATAATCCAGAGGAAGGCAAAAAACCCAGCAAAGCACGATCCAATCTGCTTCTGGTTCTATTTAGTTATTCTGAAAACGTTTAATACATTTAAAACTATAATTATATTCATTCTCTTTTATTATATTTTTTTTTAAGTTTAATAAAGCTGAAGTTTAGTCCTTATATTTTGGCTTTCCTGGTTCCTCATCAGCAAATTAATGACATTTTCGTATAAAACCTGTTTTCATTACATACCTTATTTTAGCCCAAGTGATGTCATAATAAATCTCTATGCTTCCTCATGCAATGCAGGCAGATCATGGCTGGTGGGAGGGACTGGCAGCAGGGCTGGGACAAGGGGTGTGCAGGAGGGATGTCTGTAGCTGGCCAGCTAAGACCAGTCCTAGGTTGCTAATATGGGTCACATATATGTGTATACCAAACCTGCCAATAACCTCAGTACAGTGTATATGTTAAAGCCAAAAGCAGAATCATTGCTGTAATTTATGTATTTGAATGTTATATGACATTTATATATTCATTGTGTTAGCAGAAGCAGAAAAGGAAAATATGCCTTTAAGATTTAGTATAAGGTGAGCCAATCACAGACAGCCTCACACTGTACAGAGCCTTAACCAATCGCAGCCAGTTTCACATTTATGCCTGTGTAAAACTCCCTGCTAGATTGTTCTAGAGACACATGCTCACCAGACAGAAGAGGAAACAGACAAAATTCCAGTCAGAGAAGCTTTATGGAAGCAGAGAAGGCCAAATAGGTGTTTAATGCACTTGTGTGTTCCTCTGTTGTTTAACAGTGCAGGTAGATCTGTGTGTACAATCTGTTGTATGTGTTTACTTGTAGTTCCACCGAGATAAGTAATCGAATCAACCCAGTGTAAAAAGTAAATACGAATCAAGTCATTGTAGAGTAATTGAAATATACAGAACTAAATAAGTTATCAATAAAATCCACCGAATTAAACCACTGTAATATGAAAGAAATAAGCCATTGTAAACCGTGTTATATGAAGAAGATTGAAGTTATTAAAGAAGTTAACTAAAGTATTCGGTTTGCTCTTTAAACCTACTGCATCCATAGAGCGGCATTGGAGGAATTACAGAGTAAAGTCAGTCCAATCAAACAAAGAAACAGCAATTGCATCATTTTACTAATGCCACAATGCACTAGGCACTTTATAGTGCTGCGCCTGCCACAATGTCTGCCCTGGATGGAACGGTTTACTGTAGGGATGGGGGCGCCTTCCTTCTGTTACAAGGCAGACAGGAGTAGTGACAGCGGCATCAATACTCCTGTCAGGCCAGCACTGGGAGTGGCAAGGAGAGAGCCGGGAGGTGATGCAGGCTGTGTTCTCTCTCCCCCCACTTCTTCCTGTGCAGCTCTCGTGTTCTCAGAAGCCGTTTGGCATCTTTTCCCTGGGCACTGGATGACTTTGTCCCGGCACTGGCTGGCAGGGTGCTGTACTGAAAAAAATCACAGTGCCCTGCCTCAGTACTCCTCCCAAGAGCCCTCCGTCCTAATGAAATTAGCACTGTAACTGAAAGTCCCATACAGAATCATTATGTCTAATTGTACTTACCTGAGGATGACAACACTCAAGGCAATGGGTGTCCATATGTATCCCTATACTTATACACATTGATTATTGTTTCTGATGTTTTATATAGTCGAATATATACTGTACATAGTCTGTTTTATAAAATAAACATTTGCATGACAAAGTGACAAAGGACTCCCAGAGCACTATGAGTTCTCTAAAGATAGGGAGCACAGCAGTACCCATCCATTTTCAGACACGCTGTCTCTCCTGAAAACCTATCTAAAGCCAAAAACAAACAATTGTAATAATATATATATAACCTGTGGTGGCTGCATTGCTGCCCTCCTGATCTGGGCTACAAACATGTCCTCCTCTTTTTCTTACATGGGTGCAGGGGAATCAGTAGTTTACAAAAGCTGCCATTGTGCTGTGCTGTGGTTCTGGTGTGTCTCTGCACCTTTAAGGAGGAATGGACTCCCTTCAGACATACCGGCCCTTAATTTACCCATTGTTATATATGTCCAAGATGGAAACTTTCATAGATTGAGTGAGTAGAGAAGCTGATGGTGCCGCTCCAAGCCAGAGAGCACACTTGCCGGTATGCAGAAAATGAGAGCCCAATACAGTTCCTGGCGTATAGATCATCAGAGAAGATGGATGCCACTCAAACCAGCCTAGTCAGGTCAGGATATGTGTGATGGCCTCAGCCACCATTCCAGCCATGCCCTCCGATGCATTTCACCCCGCCTACTGGGGCTTGGCCACCTCTGTGACCAAGCCCCAGTGGTGGAGGCGAAACGTGTAAGAGGTCGTAGCTGGGGCAGCAACTGAGGCCATCACACATATCCAGACCTGACTAGGCTGGTTTGAGCGGCATCCATCTCATAGATTCAAGTTAGGACCACACTATACAGAGACTTGATGGGGACAGGCAGCTTCCACATATATTCACAAATGTTGGCAACCAAAAGCATCCAATGCTTATAACAACAAATGTTAGACTCTTTGTCCGAGGTTGCTAGGTGCTTCCTAAGCCCAGGTGTGGAATTTGACTGGGCGCCCCCTTTTTGGTTGGACCAAGGAGGGCCAACCACACACCACCATCCCCTCAGAAATAACAAACCCGCCCGGTCCAGGTACAACAGAGTTATCAGTATTTGGTGTAGCTTCAGTAGTAGAGGTGGACTCAAGCCATATATCCCATATCTTGTGAGATTTCTTGGGACATCTACCAGAAAGATATTTCATTTTGTACAACGGTATCATCCAGTTAACCAGTTTCCTCCAACAGCCCAATGAAGGAGGCCCTTCAGACAACATAACTAGGAAGGAGATGGCCACTTCATAATGGACGCTTGTCTCGGCTTCAAGCACTTTCCCAAGACAAGCAGTGACAAGAGGAATGGAAGGGGTCAGTACGCTGACAGGAGGCTCTCCCTCTACATTCCTCTTGTCACTGCTTGTCTTGGAAAAGTGCTTGAAGCCGAGACAAGCGTCCGTTATGAAATAGCCATCTCCTTCCTAGTTAATGTGGTGGATGTTTTGTTTTAAATGCCGCATTATCCATTGACATACTTCCATAGACCCAGTCTGTTCAGACAGTGTGATCACCTGCTGACTTGGCACCATCCATAGACAGCTTAACTCTTCAATAAGACATAGAAGTGAAATCCAACACAATGTAACGTCAGATAATTGCAGTACAGAGGATGTATTTTCCAGTCTTTTGAAATGCAAGAGGACAATGACTTTCCTAAGCCAGAAGTACTGGCACTGACTGAGGGAACATAGAAGAAGAAACAGAGAGGGTCTATTTAGGGCTGAATTAACTAGTACTAAACAGGAGGTGGAGACAGAGGAAGAAAACAAGTAAACACGTTGTAGTGGCCTAAAACAGCCCCTAGACTTCAGCATACATCAAAGCAATATTACCCAATGCAATGCAATACAACACAGAATGACACAGCCCCAGATGATCCACATGGGCTCACCACCTTCTCACAACCATCTTAGTACATTAAGGGACACCACCCCAGTCAAGTGCCACTAGAAGGGATAGTATTTGTCCTTCCTTCCTCTTGCTCTTGTATTATTCTTCGAGGGACTGTCACCTTCATCTCTTCCCCCCTAAGAGGTCTGGATCTTTGTAGTGCACCAACTGAGCCCCAATCAATGTGCAGCAGATTCCTCAATGCATATGAAGGGACGGTGACTACCCTACTCGAGAGCTGTTTCCTATTTCAGATTTAAGCTTTGCCTTCAGATCCTGAGGGCCAAAGTGAGCTAGTTCAGCCTTTGATAGCTGTCCTTGCTCACTGGGGACCAGAAACACCTCAGGTTGGAGGTTTTGGGACAACTTCTGAATGGCAGGCCTGCCAGCACTGGCTGAGATTTTGCTGTATGTGTTTCTTTGCTTAGAGTTGCTAAGAGCGATAATTGCCATTATGTCACATATACCACTTTATGCTGTTTGCCCGAGCCTACAGACAAGTATCATATAAACATCATATCAGTTCTCTCCAATCTGTGTGAGTCTATTCTCTGGTGATCATTTACTTTGGTCAGAAGAGTACTGTGGTGTCAGAAGGGGAGGAGCTTTCAGAGGGGGGCCCATAGCAACAGGGAGCCGGAAAATAACTCAGCGAGCCGCGCTACACAGTGTTTTGTATATAAAGTATTACAGATCACATGTACATTATATTGGACAGATGTAAGCTCCTCCCATCACTCACCATGTAGGTAGAGGGTCTTACTAATTGTAGTATGCTGTATGTTACAGAAGACGTTGTGTCCTTGTATGTCCTCTGTGATGGACACCATGGAGGTCTTGGTGAAGGTTCCATCCTCATTCTTAGTCAAGTTCTCATGAATCCGGTCACCTCTTGGGAAATCACTCCAGGAAATGTCCAGCTCTGGGGGATAAAATCTCTTGGCCTCACAGATCAGAAGATGATTCTTGCTTTCCACAGTATCAGGGTGAGGTGAGGGGTTACTGGGAATGAAATGAAATGATTGTTAATGCTGCCATGATGGAAACATTCCTCTTAGAAAGTCAAACAATGGTCAGTGTGCAGGGTATTGATTCCCTTTAGTATCATCATTATTATTATACAGGATTTATATGGCGCCAACAGTGTGCGCAGCGCTGTACAAAATGAAGGCAGACATTACAGTTACAATACAATTTGGTACAAGAGGAAACAGAGGGCCCTGATCCTGGGAGCTTACAATCTAGGAGGAAGGGTTGAGTGATAAAAAAGGTAATAGCTGTGGGGGGGAGGAGAAGATGGAGGAAATAAATGGCAATTTACTAGGTAGAAGCAGAATAGACTTCTTTAAAGAGAAAAAGGTTTTCAGGGATCGTCTAAAGGTGAATAGATTTAGAGATAGCCCCACAGATTGGGGTAGGAGTCTCATAGGATGGGAGAAGCTCAGGAGAAGTCCTGGATGTGAGCATGGGAGGACGTGACACGGGAACTAGAGAGCAGAAGGTCTTGGGTGGATTGAAGTGAGCGGTTTGGTTGATATTTTGAGACCAGGTTGGTGATGTAGCTGGGGGCTGAGTTGTGGATGGCTTTGTCAGTTGTTGTTAGTATTTTGAATTTTATTCATTGGGTGAGTGGAGGCCAGTGGAGGGATTGGCAGAGAGGGGTGGAGGACACTGAATGGAGGCCAGTGGAGGGATTGGAAGATGGGGGTGGAGGACACTGAGTGGAGGCCAGTGGTGGGATTGGCAGAGAGGGGTGGAGGTCACTGAGTGGAGGCCAGTGGAGGGATTGGCAGACAGAGGTGGAGGACACTGAATGGAGGCCAGTGGAGGGATTGGCAGAGAGGGGTGGAGGACACTGAATGGAGGCCAGTGGAGGGATTGGCAGACAGAGGTGGAGGACACTGAATGGAGGCCAGTGGAGGGATTGGCAGAGAGGGGTGGAGGACACTGAATGGAGGCCAGTGGAGGGATTTGCAGAGAGGGATGGAGGACACTGCGTGGAGGTCAGTGGAGGGATTGGCAGAGAGGGATGGAGGACACTGCGTGGAAGCCAGTGGAGGGATTGGCAGAGAGGGATGGAGGACATTGAGTGGAGGTCAGTGGAAGGATTGGCAGAGAGGAGTGGAGGCCAGTGGAGGGATTGGCAGAGAAGGGTGGCGATCACTGAGTAGAGGCCAGTGGAGGGATTGGCAGAGAGGGGTGGAGGACACTGCGTGGAGGTCAGTGGAGGGATTGGTAGAGAGGGATGGAGGACACTGAGTGGAGGTCAGTGGAAGGATTGGCAGAGAGGGGTGGAGGACACTGAATGGAGGCCAGTGGAGGGATTGGCAGAGAAGGGTGGAGGACACTGAGTGGAGACCAGTGGAGGGATTAGCAGAGAGGGGTGGAGGACACTGAGTGGAGACCAGTGGAGGGATTGGCAGAGAGGGGTGGAGGTCACTGAGAGGAAGCCAGTGGAGGGATTGGCAGAGGGGGGTGGAGGTCACTGAGTGGAAGCCAGAGGAGGGATTGGCAGAGAGGGGTGGAGGTCACTGAGTGGAGGCCAGTGGAGGGATTGGCAGAGAGGGGTGGAGGACACTGAGTGGAGGCCAGTGGACGGATTGGCAGAGAGGGGTAGCAGACACTGAATGGTTGGTAAGGTGGATGAGCCTGGCAGCAGTATTCATGATGGACTGGAGGGGGGGATGTGGCCTATGTAAAGGTAAGCCAATGAGGAGGGAGTTGCAGTAGTCGAGGGATAACCAGGGAGTGAATGAGGAGCTTTGTGGTGTCATTGGTTAAAAAGGGGCGTATTCTGGAGATGTTGCGGATGTTGATGATTTGGACAGGGATTGGATGTGGGCCTGAAAGAATAGTTCAGAATCCAGGGTTACCCCTCGCACCCTGACATGCGGAGATGGGTTGATAGTGGTGCTATTGACCCTGAAATTGGGGGAAGAGGCAAGTGGGGGAGGAAGTATTATGAGCTCAGTTTCTGATAGATTGAGTTTGAGGAAGTGGTGTGACATCCAGTCTGATATGTCTGTTAGTAAATTGGTGATATGTGAGGAAACTGATGAGGTGACCTGAGGAGTAGAGAGATATATTTGTGTGTCATCAGCATAGAAATGGTATTGGAAGCCATGGGAAGCTATCAGGTGACCCAAGGAAGAAGTGTAGATGGAGACTAGGAGAGGTCCAAGGACAGAACCTTGGGGGACCCCAACAGTATTAATCATATTACTAATGTCTTATTGGTCAGTGCCTCTTAGGGGTGGTTACATAGTTACATAGTTAGTCTGGCTGAAAAAATAACAAAAGTCCATCCAGATCAAACATAAAAAAAAATGTTATAATCCCGTACCCACAGTTGATCCAGAGGAAGGTAAAAAACCCAGCAAAGCACGATCCAATCTGCTCCTGGTTCTATTTAGTTATTTCTGAAAACTTTCAATACATTTAAAACTATAATTACAGTTGCAAGAAAAAGTATGTGAACCCCTTGGGATTACGTGGAGTTTTTCATGAATTGGGCATAAAATGTGCTCTGAACGTCATCTAAGTCACAACAATAGAAGAACACAGTCTGCTGAACATAATACTACACAAACATTAGATGTTGCCATGGTTTAATTGCACATAACATGTAAACATTCACAGTGCAGGGAGGAAAAAGTATGTGAACCTTTGGACTTAATAACTGGTTGACCCTCCTTCGGCAGCAATAACCTCAACCAAACGTTTCCTGTAGTTGCAGATCAGACCTGCACAACGATCTGGAGTAATTTTGGACCACTCCTCTTCACAAAACTGTTTCAGTGTAGCAATATTCTTGGGATGTTTGGTGTGAATCACTCTTTAGGTCATGCCACAGCATTTCAATCGGGTTGAGGTCAGGACTCTGACTGGGCCACTCTAGAAGGCGTATTCTGTGCTGTTGCAGCCATTGTTTTGTTGAATGACTTGTATGCTTTGGGTCATTGTCCTGTTGCATCACCCATCCTCTGCAGAGCTTCAGTTGGCGGACAGATGGTCGTACGTTTTCCTGCAAAATGTCTTGATACACTCTGGAATTCATTTTCCCATCAATGACAACAATCCATCCAGGCCCTGAGGCAGCAAAGCAGCCCCAAACCATGATGCTCCCTCCGCCATGTTTCACAGTGGGGATGAGGTTTTGATGTTGGTGTGCTGTGCCTTTTTTTCTCCACACATAGTGTTGTGTGTTCTTCCCAAACAACTCAATCTTGGTTTCATCTGTCCACAGTATATTTTGCCAGTAGTGCTGTGGAACATCCAGGTGCTCTTTTGCAAACTTCAAACGTGCTGCAATATTCTTTTTGGACAGCAATGGCTTCCTCCGTGGTGTCCTCCCATGTACTCCATTCTTGTTTCATGTTTTCCTTATTGTAGATGTGTCAACAAAAATGTTAGCATGTGCCAGAGATTTCTGTAGGTCTTTAGCTGACACTCTGGGATTCTTCTTTACCTCATGCAGCATTCTGCGCTGTGCTCTTGCAGTCATTTTTACAGGACGACCACGCCTAGGGAGAGTAGCAACAGTGCTAAACTTTCTCCATTTGTAGACAGTCTGTCTTACCGTGGACACAGGAACATCAAGGCTCAAGGAGATACTTTTGTAACCCTTTCCAGCTTCATGCAAGTCAACAATTCTTGATCGTAGGTCTTCTGATAGCTCTTTTCTGCGAGGCATGGTCCACATCAGACAGTGCTTCTTGAAACCAGTAAACCCAAAACAGGTGTGTGTTTTTTAAGGGCAGGACAGCTGTCAGCAACACATCCAATATCATCACACTGATTGGCGTCAAGGTTGGCTCACTCCTGGCTCCAATTAGCTCTGGGAGAAGTCATTAAGCTAGGGCTTCACATACTTTTTCCTCCCTGCACTGTGAATGTTTACATGTTATGTGCAATTAAACCATGGCAACATCTAATGTTTGTGTAGTATTATGTTCAGCAGACTGTGTTCTTCTATTGTTGTGACTTAGATGACATTCAGAGCACATTTTATGCCCAATTCATGCAAAACTCCATGTAATCCCAAGGGGTTCACATACTTTTTCTTGCAACTGTATATTCAGTCACTTTTATTATATTTTTTTAAGTTTAATAAAGCTGAAGTTTAGT